AATAAAAATGTCTTTACTAAAGTCTTAAATCTGCTGTAATTGTTCTCTTCTCTAATGGCATTGTAATGCATTGTATTCTTTGTAATGTTGTTRACAAGGCTATGGCAGAAACTTCTTATTAAAATTGAGTGAATCGTTTTTTATGCAAATAAATTATATGTATTATATTCTTTTAAGGATATATTGCAACTTACAGGAAACTTTTTTTCCCATTTCAGCAAAATTCACAGTTCCAGAGATTCTCATGGATGTGAAGAASAACAACCTATCAAACAGGTACTGAGATCCAAGAAAGACTGTCAGCATTAAGCCTTTTCAACAATCATTAGTCTTTTTGGGCCTTTCTGTCAACCTTTTTGGTATTTCTCCTGATAGGAATGGAAGGGGGAACTGTAATTGAGGCTATGCCTTGTGWAGGTATTTCTTGGGCATTGTGGTGAATAACATGATAATCATCAAAATGATCTTAAAATTTCAATGGTGTCCATGTTCATTGTGCCATGTTCATCAAGCCTTACTCGCTCAATCGTGGCACCAGTGTCTCAGTTATATTCATGTGCATTACAACTTGATGTTAAAGGAACCTATTTTTTGTATTATTTATTTGTTTGTTTAGGTCAATCTCTCTTCAAATWCCAAAGATTCCTTTGTTTGCACCTTTGAAGGCTGTAGTAATAGAGAGTTGATAGATGTTAGATGTGAACAATGCAGAAAACAATTCTGCTTGGGGTAAGATATTGAATATCAGCAACTAATTTTGTTATCTTTTGTTATCTAGTATAAATACAGTGTACATAACTGACAGTATTTATGGTTTATAGACACAGACATCAAAGTGATCATGAATGCTCATCCTTACCCATTAAACCAGTAGTTGTTTCACCTCAGGAGCGACTCAAGTCTATCACAGGTATAGTTTCCATAGAAACTAAAAAAAATTTATTTTTATTAAATTAAAATGTTTAAAATTATGATAATAGCGATAATATCAAATGGGATCTCTTGCTTCCCTATGTTTTTGCAATACTCCAGTAATAATAATTGACAAGMTTTCAGTCTTATCATTCATTGTCAGTAAGTTTACAAGTGCAAGCTGCAATTAAATGTAACTGTAAGAGCAAAAATCATAAAATACCCACACACAAAATACTGTGCAATATTTCAGGGAGGGAACTAAGCTCAGAGAAAAAAGGTCGAACTGGAGTCAAAAATGAAGCAAGACAACTTAAAGTGGCACTGATGAAGATGAAAATGAATGCTRTTGGAGATAAATCTATACCTCAGGTGTCAATGCAACAAAAAAAAAGATAATTTAAATTTAATAGTGGATCACTAGAGGTGCTAATTATGTTTTATTTGTAGTTTGTAGACATTGATGTACTATGTACCGTACTTAATATATTTTATGTTTTTAGATTGAAAGAATATACCTTAATATTCAACTTCCTGAAGGACAGAAGGACAAGGCTATGTATTTTTCAAAGGTATGCTTAACACTGCATATTAAAGTGCATGTGATGTCAAACTRAGCTAAACCCATTGCTCTCCTCAATCAAATGAAGCACAAAAACTTTTAGGAACAAAAACTACTGTCATAAAAATCCAATGTGA